TTCCTGAATAAGATGTGGTCATCAACAGCCTTAGGAAACAAAAGGCTCAATAAGGCATACCAAACACGGTATTCCAACGAGAGAATATTCTTGTTTTTCAGCGTCAACGCTTCTGGCCGCTTCTGTGGGATTGCAGAGATGGTTTCACCTCTAATGGATGCATCACTGGTAAAGGATGAAGCTCCCTGGACAGATAAGAAGAGATGGCGTGGTGGTTTCAAAGTCCAGTGGTTATATGTAAAGGATATTTACAATAACAGCTTGAGACATTTGAAAGTACCACTGAACGACTTCAAACCGGTGACAAGCTCAAGAGATACACAGGAACTACCCTTTGAAGTTGGACAGGAGATGTTGGAGATCTTCAAAAGGACCAGGTCTCATACGAGCTTCCTACACAATTTGGGAGATGGCTTTTAACCCTTCAATCAAACAAACCCTCTTGCTATAAACTGCTTTCAACTTCAACGGCTTTTATCGGTGGTCACTTCCTAAAAGGGCAGTAGTCTCCGATATGTGGTACGGGCACTACACCCAGACACATCATCCGGGCACACACCACCTCTAACGAAGTTGAAATTTTACGAAATGGCTCGATTTTATATAACTTTTGACACCTCATTTCATCGTTTTCTTCATCGTTACTGTTTTTTTTTTGCTTTGTTTTGTTATTCAAATGTCATCAACTGTGCTCAAGACGATCCCCAAAGGTGCCAAGTTCTCCACCCTTTCGCAATTGCGTGCTGCAGTACAATCGACATCGGTTCCAGATTCCAAACCTGAACCTCCAAAGCAGTACGAATATGGTGCTTTGAACGATGTACAGAAGGCCTTCTTGGATAGAGTTATCCGTGTGGATCAAGCGGGAGAACTCGGTGCCAATTATATCTATGCTGGGCAGTACCTGGTGCTCTCATCGAGGGAACCACATCTTAAACCAGTGTTGAAGCACATGTGGGAACAAGAGATCCATCATCATAACACGTTTAATGCACTCCAGGTGAAACATAGGGTCCGTCCTTCTTTCATCACCCCGTTGTGGAAATTGGGTGCGTTCTCCATTGGTGTCGGAACTGCTCTAATTGGCAAAGAAGCTGCAATGGCTTGCACCGTTGCTGTTGAGACAGTGATTGGAGGCCATTATAACGACCAACTGAGGGTATTGGCTGGTAAATTTGACATCCCAGCCAAGGATCTATTGACCGGTGAAACCGTGACTGGTGTTACAAGCGACGAACTTCACGGGCTGAAAGAAACCATCAGAACCTTTAGAGATGACGAATTGGAGCATTTGGATACAGCTGTGGAGCACGATGCTGAAAAGGCCGTCCCATATTGGCTGCTCACGGAAGCCATTAAATTGACATGTAGGGCTGCCATTTGGACCGCTGAAAGGGTTTGAAAGGTCTGCTTGTATATACAAGTCCAATGTCTCAGCCTGAAACTGTGCTTGAGAGAATGAAGATTCCTGGAATGTCAACGGTATATCTATGATGCATGAATACCATTTGTACTTACTTTACATTATTTAATGAATACTTGAGATGACAACAACGTATAGAATGGCCTCTATCATGGCACTGATATAATTAGTCTGCAAAAGAGAAAGGGAATGGATAGGCAACACTATGTATAATGTAGGGAGGCCAGACAAGTACTCACGGAAAGCACACACACACACACTTGTGATACAGCCATCTTACAAGTACTCAGACCAACCCATCGTACAGGTTGAGAGCACCAACGATACTAGGATCGATCTTTGAACCTTCTCTAAATTCATCAAGACTGATCTCTCCGTTTTCATCCTTGTCCATCAGCTTGAAGATCTTCTGTACCCTGAGTTCAGGCGTGGCCTCATCGTCGTTAAGTTTCACCATCGACCCGATCATCTTGTATATCGCACTCACTATTGCCAGCATCTCTTCGTAGCTGATCTTGCCGTCGTGGTTCAGATCGTACAGCTGGAACGCCCACACGAGCTTCTCCTCCAACGAGCCTCTCGACGTGATGCTCAGAGCACATATGAACTCTTTGAAGTCTATCGTGCCGTTCTTATCGTCGTCAAACACGTCAAACACGTAGTTACTGAAGTCTGACGGATCACCAAAGGGGAAGAACTGCTTGTATATCTTGACAAACTCCTCCTTGGTTATCTGTCCTGAGGGGCAATCCCGTAGGAACCCTTTGTACCACTGCTGAAGCTCACGACGATCGAAATACGTCGACTTCTTTAGCGACGCCAGCTCATCCTTCGAAAGCTTTGATGCACTCTTACCCATTGCTAGTGTCCACGCTTCTGTTGAATAGTAAACCAGTATGTCAGCAAGATGAGACCCTGATTGAAACAAACACTCCAAGCTTGCGTTTTCCCCGTGCTGCCTCCCCTTCGGTGTTGCTGTTAGGGCGAAGCCCAGTGGAATTTCGCACCAGCCAGTGGGGGGCGTGATGAGCGGTGCAGGGGTGAATAGCTTACGTAAGCAATCTTGGAAGTTGATTATGTAATCAGCTTTTTTTTCCGTCAAACTGAGCATTACGTAACCATGCATGAGACGTATTGTGTTTTATTCATATTATACACATCAAGTTATGGAGATGTTATCGAACTATGGAACCTCAACAGGCTAACAATCTCAAGAAGATCAGACTCTCCACCAGTTCGACCATGTGCGCTTTTCCTTGTTGAGAACAGAATCGTCAATGAACTTGGAGTTGGAGCTCAACGTCTCTTGATCTGAGCCATAAATGTCGTGCTTGTCAGTGAGTTCCACTTCCCTGACAAAGAACATCAGCCCGAGCATTGGGATTATAACTGCTAGTGCAAACCATCCAATGATCTGTAACGTCTCTCTGTAAGCCAGGGACACTGCCAATCTTCCCGGTGTTCCCTCCTCCATCTTCAGCGCCAGCTTGAAGTTCTTGAAGATCATCGTGGCATTCTTTTGCAGCTCATCTGGAAGGTGATCGTGTAACTTATCAATGGCAACGTTGTTCCAAATGACACCTGAGATGGCTGTTCCGATGAGTGTTCCCACCGAAGTGAAGGCCAGAAAGAAGGCAGTGGACATTGCAACACTGGTGGCACCTGCTATTGCTTGAATGGTCACTTGAAGTGCGGTCATGTAGAGAGCACGACCTACACCACAGAATATCTCCATCACATACAGCAAAACGGTGTTTTCTTCCATCACGCCGTCCCTATCGATGAACCACACGAGCAATCCATGTCCAAGAACGAGCAGTGGGACACCAGTGAGAACAAAAATCTTTGTTCGCTTCGTGTATTTCATCATCAACCCAGTGAGAATCGAAGCAATATCAATCGACGTCTTCTTTGCATCGTTAATACGCGCAGCTTGACCAGCAGTGTAATACCCACCAACCTGTAAAACCGTTGAGAAGTAAACGTTGAATGCTGCATTTTCGCAGTAGTCCAAGGCAACCATCAGAAAGGCAATGAGAACAGTCATGTTGGTAAAAGCTTGGATAGGAATGAAAGGTTGTCTCGTTTGCAACCAAGGTAATCTCTTAGGAAAGGCACACCAAAGAACAAACAACACGAGGAGGATGAACCCGATGATCAGCATCGCAATGGTACTTCCTTGGTTCCATTTCTTAGGCGATGTTTTACCGGTGATTGTGAATGGAACAAAAAACAGGATGGTACCAGCAAGCAAGAGAAAGCCACCAATGAGGTCCAGATCTAACAAGAAGATCTTTTTCAGCTTCTGCATCAGTGAGCCTTCAGGCAGGTTCATCAGTATCGTTGGCTTTCTACGTTTGCCGTTCTTTCTCTGCACATGGTCGACATAGAACATCACACAGGATAAGGGTGCAATGAAACCTGCTAAGATAATGGCAAAGGTACCATACGCCCATCTCCACGTCGAATGGTCCAGAAAGGCGTCCTGGATATGGGACCCCGCGTAGGTCGATGGAATACCAGTGATCGCAGCCGGGAACTGGGTCCAGAACCCTCTGTTGATCAAGCTTGTCGTGTCTGCAATGAAGATGTACAGGTAAGTCTTGAAACCAATTCTGCCGATGGCAAAGAACACCTGGCCAGCAAAATACTCACCAATCCTCTTACACGTTGCAAACAGAACGTAGCACAGCGTGTACATGATCATGGTGAGGCAGAAGCCTTCACCACGTCCAAGCAGGTCAGCAACTTTACCGAGGATTGGATAAGCGCAAACTGCCGTGATCTTATACACGATCTGGGCGGTGGATATCATCGAGTGTGCGTTGAAGGACGAGGTGACATAGGCGGCAAGATCACTCGTAGAGTCCTGAGCAAACGACTCAACCAGCGAAGTGATGAGAATCACAGCGTAAGCGATTCTTATCATCTTCCTGGAAACACCGCCGCCCTGGCGCTCGTCCTCAGACGACTCTTCAGCATCACATGCCCTTGTGACCTCGGCGGTCTCTGCCTTGTCCTTTCCACCGTGGCGGTCGAACGAAGATCTCAGGCCAGATACGTGGTTACCTGTGGTTTCAACCACCATGTCAACCTCGCCGGTCTGCGACGTTTGAGTGTGGATGCTAAGCTTGGAGTTTGGCATTGTAGCGACACTTGCACGATCTGCTCAGCCAGACAAGACGACAGAACCAGTCCGGGAGGCGCTCTTCAGGCTATTTATATAGCAACTTTGCTCAGCTAAGAATGAACAGTAAAGGAACCATTGTACAGACACCGTACAACTAAACACAGCGAGCCAAGTGGGCTGTCTGCGCTGTAGGCTCGTCAAAATGCCTCTCACAGCTAAGCGACCTCACCTGCACAAATACACGCACCCAAATGCCGGCGTGTAAAACAGGTCTCCTCCCAGCAAATATCACCACGCCAAAGTGCTGCTGGTTTCAAGCATTTCCCACTCGTCACAACCGCAGATGATCTACAAGAGGTTTGGAATGGGGCTTCCAGGCCACCGTTACTAGGGGCTAAACGCACCCGGACGTGGGAAATGGCGTACCTACAGTTTAAGGCGAGGGCTTTTGGCGCAGAGAGGTGAGGCCCTGTGTGGGTGAGGCCCTGTGTGGGTGAGGCCCTGTTGGTGTGGAAACCCCAGCAAAGGACTCAATACACACCATCACCAGGCGCAATTGGGCACAATTGGGCGTGGATGGCTAAGAGCTGTGTGTCTTAGTCATTCTGAAGCCAGTAGCATCGCACTGGCCCTTCTTCACCGCGTTGTGAGACCTCACAGGCCCACCATCCTCGCCAGCCTGGCAGCCTCTTCAGGGCCTGCCCGTCTCGCCAGGGCCCTCTCCGGATTTAGGCGGAGACCCGTGTGCATTGCGATGGGCCTCAACGCCGTGGTGGAAGCACTGTCAATCACGCACGACGACTGGAGCAAGATGGAAATGATAAGCAATGACGACAAGAGTGCCACGAGAGATTATAAGCTTAAACGGATACACCGCGAGCTCCTTGGCGTGCTTGGGAGCTGGGCCTTTGTTGTGATTGGCTGTGTTCTGTGGAAGAAATGCGTGGCTTTATACATGCTGTGGTGTGAGTGGCGAAGGAATCCGTGCTTGGGAGCACGGACCAGAAGATGCGGTTGTGACTATAGGTAGGAGAGCTAGTAGCAATGTACAGATTATACAACGAGCCAGCTAGTAGCAATGTACAGATTATACAACGAGCCAGCTAGTAGCAATGCACAGATTATACAAAGAGCCAGTTTATTGGAGCTGGGTGGTGGAGGACAAACACCCGGTTTGAAGATGCTGTATAGGGGGATATGTAGTGTATCAATTGATGAATGGAATGTACACAGGTGTCTTGCTCTTGTACTCAACGTACGACTTGCCAAAGAAGCTCACCAGGAACTTCTCCTCCTGCTCGATACGGTCGGAGAAGAAGGTGTACAAGGTGATGGCGAAGCCCACGGCCCCCAGTGGGTTCACCAGCATGAGCTGGGTGCCCACAGCCCACCAGAAGAAGCCGAAGTAGGAAGGGTGTCTTATATACTCGTAGATCCCGTTCGTTATCAGCTTGTGGTCCGACTGTCGCTTGGTCTGCACCAGGTGGTTGAAGGAACGGCCTGCTGTTTTCATCGCCAACGTCCGCACAGACTGGCCCATAATCATCAGCGCAAAGCCAACAACCTTGGTCAAACAGTTCCCCCTTTTGAAGTTCGGGAACATCGCGTACTCTATGGAGAACTCGATCAGCGCAATGGTGTGGGCAAGCGTGTACGCGGACCCGTTGTTGATGATGAACGACTCAGAGTGGACCCTTGTGGGGTTGTACCTGGCGGTTACCCAGAACTCGAGGAAATGGAAGAGCGCCAACGCCATCAGGTATACAGAGCCCGTCTTGAGCTGAACAAAGAACATCGAGGCACAGCCAAAGCCAAACACGATGCCTAGTAGAGCCGCGGTGGCGGCAACCTTGTCCAGAGGGTTCTTCGTGATGTCCGGATAAGTCGACAGCTCGGGAAGCGAGCTCGTCACTGTCTCATTCGTCTCCTCAGTTTCAACGCCCTCCAGGTCAGACTCCTCGCCACCGCTGTCCTTCCTTGTCGTCGTCTCCTCGCCCGTATCCCTATCAACAGCCGTGGCGGTCGAGCTCATGCTGGTGTCCCCAGATCTCTCTTTCGATGCTGAGCTCCTTGGCGACGAGACACCAATGTCCAGCTTCTTGATGTTTGGAAGGCTTGGAATAGGCACTTTCTGCACTAGCCGGTTAACAAGAGAGTTCTTTCGAAGCAGTGAGGTCATGGTCCCAGTTCAAGCCTCAAATTGCTCTTCCAATGCTGTGCTTTTATACCGTTGTCGATGCCTACGGGTCCACCACCTTGAGCTGTAAAAGACAGCGCAGGCTGCCAAAGAAGCCATCGCCCGAAAGAGAGCGAAAACCCAGAGGTGGCGGCACACGCAGCGCAAAAAGGCACACGCGCGACCGGAATGGGCCGGAGAGAGTTTTTGTGTCATCGATTTGCGGTGGTGTGTCGCAGTTTGGCGGAGGATTTCCTCTTTTGGCGAGAAGAATGGGAGGTGGGAGGCAAAGGACAGCAAGGAGAAATGGTTACGTAAGCACGACTGATTACGTAAGCACCGTTGATTATATAAGCGGTTGTGCTTACGTAAGCATGACATAATCAGCCTCAACCACCACTGGTACGCGCAGCAATGGCCCTCCGTGACGCGTACCGCTCCTCACCAAATCAAAAAATTTCATTCAATGCTGCTCTTTACGCGTCAGTTCATCTCCCACAGCGCTGTCTACGAAGTGCTGTGTCAATTGAGCGATCTACAGGGATGTCAGGTAAACACAGCATCGTCGCTCACGACGACAGCACGCTGAAGAAGGCAAGAGTCATCGCTGCTGACGAGTTTGACAGCACGCCACAGGGAACTCTGGAATCGCTTCATAGAGAAGCACACTCGATGCCAGTGTCATCGCAGGTGATGGACGATGTCAGGCATACACACAAGAGAGAGCCGTATAGCCAGAAGAGTGCGATGGCCAAGGTGGAGCCTTCCAAGTTTGAGAAGGAGCTGCTGACGATGTCATCAGAGGCTGATGCTTCGAAGGCAAAGGACCAGACCTGGGGAAGACCTCCTCTGCCTGACGGGTTTGATCCTGCTCTGAACGATATATCCTTCCAACAGTTGGATGCTGAGGAGGCCTTGACCGATGGGTCATCTGCTGTTAAGTTCTTTGGAGTCACAGAAGAAGGATACTCCATCCTCTGCACAGTGGTTGGATTCCTCCATTACTTCTATGTACCGGCACCAATCAACTTCAGAAAAGAACACCTGGAAGAGTTCATCAAATACCTACGTGCAAACTTCCAAGGAGTGCATGATGTGCAGATGGCGATGAAGGAGTCCATTTGGGGCTATAACGGTGGTGAGAAAGTGGTGTTCTTGAAGGTGATAGCTGCAAATGCCAAAGACGTTCCGAAGATTAGATCTGGCTTTGAGAAGGGCCAAGTTTCGTTCAATGGGATGTTCGTGTCTGGAGGTGACGGTATAATGACCTATGATAATATCCAGTATCTGCTAAGAATGATGATTGATTGTAAGATTGTCGGAATGAGCTGGATCACTTTACCTAAGGGCACTTATTCCATGGTGCCAAGTAAGGATCGCATTTCCACTTGCCAATTGGAAGTGAACATTGATTATAGAAAGATGATACCGCATCAGCCTGAGGGGAAATGGCTGAAGAGTGCTCCCTTACGTATTCTCTCCTTCGATATTGAATGTGCGGGAAGAAAGGGTATATTCCCTGAAGCAGAACACGACTCCGTCATCCAAATTGCAAATGTTGTATCGAGATCTGGTGAAACTACACCATTTGTTCGTAATGTATTCACAGTCAACACGTGTTCGCCAATTACGGGATCTGAGATCTTTGAACATGAACATGAGTCCGATATGTTGCTTGCCTGGAAGAACTTCATTGTTAGAGTTGATCCTGATGTCATTATAGGTTACAACACAACGAATTTCGATTTACCTTATCTATTGGACCGTGCAAAGGCATTGAATCTGAAGAACTTCCCATACTTTGGCAGGTTGAAGTATGTCAAGCAAGAGGCCAAGGATTCCGTGTTCTCTTCTAAGGCTTACGGTACCAGAGAGTCGAAAGTGATCAACATCGATGGAAGAATGCAATTGGATCTCTTGCAATTCATCCAAAGAGAATATAAGCTCAGATCGTACACTTTGAATTCCGTCTCTGCTCACTTCCTGAATGAACAGAAGGAAGAAGTTCAACATTCGAACATCACAGATCTTCAAAATGGTACAAGCGAGACAAGAAGAAGACTGGCTGTGTATTGCTTGAAAGATGCATACTTACCATTGAGACTTCTCGAGAAGTTGATGTGTCTCGTTAATTATACAGAGATGGCAAGGGTAACAGGTGTGCCATTCTCTTTCCTATTAACAAGAGGACAACAGATCAAAGTTATATCACAACTGTATAGAAAATGCCTTGAAGTTGATACTGTTATTCCAAACCTTCAACAGAATGGATCTTCAGATGTTCAATACGAGGGTGCTACCGTTATTGAACCGAAAAGAGGATACTACGACGTTCCAATCGCAACATTGGATTTCAGCTCGCTATATCCAAGTATCATGATGGCACATAACCTGTGCTACACGACACTGTTGAACAGAAACACGATAGAAAGGTTGAGTCTCAAAAAAGATGTTGATTATACACAAGCACCATCTGGTGACTGTTTCATCAAGTCTTCAAAGAGAAAAGGGCTGTTACCTATTATCTTGGAAGAGTTGTTGTCCGCAAGAAAGCAGGCCAAGAATGACTTGAAGAAGGAGACAGATCCATTCAAGAAAGGTGTCCTCAATGGTCGACAGTTGGCTCTGAAGATCTCTGCAAATTCCGTGTACGGTTTCACAGGTGCCACCATTGGTAAACTACCCTGTCTAGCCATTTCATCATCTGTCACGGCCTTTGGTAGGGAAATGATTGAGAAAACAAAGCAGGAAGTTCAAGACCATTATTGCATTGCGAACGGTTTCAAGTATGATGCCCAAGTCATATACGGTGACACTGATTCTGTGATGGTGAAGTTTGGGTACGATGACCTTGAGACGTGTATGAAGATGGGAGAAGAGGCTGCTGATTATGTCTCCACCAAGTTCCTGAACCCCATCAAGTTGGAGTTCGAAAAGGTGTACTTTCCTTACCTGCTGATTAACAAGAAGAGATACGCAGGCTTGTATTGGACAAATACAAAGAAGTTTGATAAGATGGATACCAAAGGTATTGAAACTGTCAGAAGAGACAACTGTCGTCTTGTCTCCAATGTTATTACAAAAGTTCTGGAACTGATTCTTGAGAGACGGGATGTTCCAGAAGCTGAATCCTTTGTCAAACAAACAATTGCAGACTTACTTCAAAACAGGGTAGATATGCAACAGCTAGTCATCACTAAGGCTTTGTCTAGACAGGACTATGCTAACAAGCAGCCCCATGTCGAACTTGCTGAAAGAATGAGGAAAAGAGATGCTGGTTCTGCTCCAGCAATTGGTGATCGTGTTGCGTATGTTGTCATCAAGACTGCGGGAACAAAGGCCTATGAGAAGTCTGAAGATCCATTGTTTGTTTTGGAGAACAATTTGCCAATCGACACCAAGTACTACCTAGAGAACCAGTTGTCCAACCCTCTTACAAGAATCTTCGAACCTATTCTGGGAGAGAAACGTGCAAGGGAGCTCTTAACAGGAGCACATACGCGTACAGTCACCGTCGCAGCACCCACAACAGGTGGGTTGATGAAGTTTGTCAAAAGAGTCCAAACGTGTAAAGGATGCAAATCAGCTTTGCCAAAGAGCAACAAGGGTACATTGTGCCCAAACTGTCTACCAAAGGCAGGCCAGCTCTATAGTGAAGCTTTGGCTTCTCTCAATGCACTGGAAATCAAGTTCTCCCGACTATGGACGCAGTGTCAAAGATGTCAAGGGTCACTTCATCAAGATGTTCTCTGTGCAAACAAGGATTGCCCGATCTTCTATATGAGAAAGAAAGCACAGAAGGATGTAGCCCAGCAAGCTCTAGAGCTTGAGAAATGGAACGATACCGAGTGGTGATTGCATTATTTATTCTAGTAGACTCCACTGTTTTAATTATCATGTCATTAAAATTGTCAGTTGACTATTTGGAAACGTTAGGCTCTCTTGGTAATATAGGACTGTGAGCACTGCTTTGTGTTGTACTATCCAATGCTGCTCTCTTTGCATTATGTTCGGTCTTGGAAGATGTGAGTCTTTTCCTCTTCTCTACCGACGTATGTGGGGGTCCTCTTGAAGGGATGGCTAGCCCATTAGCTCTTATGAATGCTCTGTGTTGATCATACGCTGCCTGTGAACGTGAAGAGGACCCATCACTGGTGAACCTGGAGGGAGAAAAAATACCAACAGCAGGCGGAGTGCTCTTCACAGGAGGCTTTGAAGTGGTGCTCGATCCATTGGCAGTTTTTGTAGCTTTCTGAAGGGTTTGGGTCAGCGATTGGATCTGATCAATGGCCTTTGCACTGCCAGTGTTCGGGACATTGACGGAGTGGCTGCGCTGAATATTCAAATCCTGTGTATACTTCTCCAGTCTTCGCTTGAGGTCTGACTGCTCTGCCGTTACTGATCCTGTCGAATGACCTTGAGTGCTCTTAGAACCACCAGATACGCTTTCAGTTGGCGAAATACCCCCATTTGGTGCGTTATGCGGCCCATTCACAGAGCGTAATTGGGTATGTAGAAGCTGTGATGGTAATGATGTACGTCTTTCAGTCATTGAACGAGCCACCGGCGGTGGAATAGGAGCAGGGAACAGTACTGGAGTGTTGCCAGATGTATTGGTTTCCCGTTTAGAATTATTCGCAAGCTCATCAAATTTCCTCTTTAGCTCAAGTATTTCATTCCGCTCTCGTACGTATGAGCTAACCTTCTCTACTGGCTTGGTAGGATGAGCAGGTGTCTTCGAAAGTGGGATGTCTCTAGAAGCCAATGGCAATGTCGATTCTGAATTTTCAGAGTGTTTATTCGCACCTCCTGAAGTTTCGGAATGCTGGGGACGATGCGAGGATTCTCTTTCTTGCGACTCTGATGATGATGAAGATGGTAACTGCGACTGTTTGTCATGCGATGATGGTAGGGGCGGTGGTGGTGGAATGGAATTTGATAAAACATTTTTCGTGATAACTAATGAAGAATCAGAACGGTCGTCAGTGGATGAAGATTGGGGTGGAGCAGACGGAGGCGACACTGTCAATAAGCTTCTTGGTGCACTAACTTTAGCAACAACACGAGTGGGATTAGCTATTGGTATAGCTACTCTTAATCTCGGTGATACAGTTGGTGGCACTGGTCGCTGTTCTTCATTTGCCAGAAGTGGTGAGGTACGCAAGTTCACTTTAGGTGGAATGCTGACCTTTTCCAAATTTGTAGGAGCCTGCTGGGAGTTGCCTGACTCCACGTTCGGATTGGAGCCCGATAAATTTGGGCCTATTACTGTATCAATAGAATCATTGGTTTTCGGATCAATACTGGTCTGCAGCGATGGTGAATGTGCCACAACAGGTGATTTCAGTACAAGATGAGGTGGAGGTGTTGGTGTTTGCCGAACTCCAGAATCTTCTACTCTAGCACTCGGGTTCAATAACGAACTTTTTGTCTGTACGGTTACTCGTGGAGCACTTGACGATGCATTGGCCGGAGGAGGTGGTGGAGCACTCCCAATATGAGATGCGCTAGCAGTAGCAGCAGCAGAACGCTCCGATGAAGATACCACCGTGGCTTCTGATAATATATGGTTATGCGTGCTTTGAGGTGCAACGTTACTCGCACTAGTACTTTTTGACATCGTAGTTGTCATCTTCGACTGGACTGCAGAATTGACAGTATTTTCACTTGCTAGTGAAGTTCCATGTAAATCATCAGTATGAGTTTTCTGAGGAGCACTCGTAGCAGTATTTCCAGTTAGAGCAGGAAGTGTACCAGACACCACAACCTTGGGCGGAGCTTGCTGCACTGGTGTCACCTCTTGATTAACAACATTCGCTATCATAGGCGGTGTCAAATTTCTTTGTTGTGCATTTCCTGTCCCGTTTGATACAACAGGACTTGGTCGTTGCGATTGATTGCCACCCACCATTACGTTGTTGTGTTGGTGTTGGTTGGTATTTGAATAGGTTTGTTCTCCGTGAGTGTTTTGTCCATATTGCTGTTGCTGTGGTGGGCTATGATTATTTATATGCTGGCCATGAAATGGATCTGGTGCTGAGATATTTGTCTGAATATTCTGTGAAGCACTCTGATGTTTCATCAGACGTGCCATTCTCAAGAAATAGAATTGTAACTGTGACAAATAAGTTATGTCTGAGACGTGTGGGTTGCCAATGATACCATTAATATATGCCCTAAAGAGATCATTATCAAGATACTTGTGCATGGTTTCATTTGTTAAACAAACAACCTCGTTTGCCTTGTTTTGCAACATTGGCGCAATGTAATTGAACGTTAGAAATTGAGAGTTTGGATCTCTTCCAACAATACTTGAGTCCTGCATGTATATATCTGATATCGGAAATGGTTTCAATTCTGATAGAGTGACTGGACGGTCGTTGCGTTGGTTTGAAGCATTGCTTGAAGCATTCATGTCACTTCTGGAGCTTGCTGATACCACAGAAGGTGGATGTCCCATTGAATGCGATGTGTGTCTTGGGATAGGACCAGGACCAACAGCAACAGCAGGGATTGGAATTCTGACTTGAGATGTTTGCTCCTGAGCACCTCCATTATGCGATATATGTGATATTGGTGTTGGTGCCTGTGTTGGTGCCTGTGTTGGTGCCTGTGTTGGTGCCTGCGTTGGTGCTGGTGTTGGTGCTGGTGTTGGTGCTGGTGCTGGATTTCCATCAAAATCTTCGTCGTCAGAATCAAGACTAATAACAATAGGGGATGCCTTCCTTGGTTGTTGAGCCGGTCGACTAGTGACAGCTGAGGTCTGTGAAAGTGGTGTAATCGGTTCCTTACTTGTTTCTTTAGGTTCAATATCTTCTTCATCAGATGAATTGTTCCCTTTCAATGATGCGATGGAAGGTGCTGGAGGTTTATCCATCCTTACAAGCACACCATCATCATTTTCGTACAATGGATGCCAATTTCCATCCACTTCAATCTCAACACTTTCACACTCATCTGGCGTACTCTTAAGAATATTCATAACGTACTCGTTGAGAGAGAGATCACCAACATTAATTGTTGAATTGCAGATAGGACAAAACCACAGAGATGAGGTGAGCTGCTCTTGAAGATAGATGTATTGCAATGCATCAAAGCAGTTCAAATGCTGGCAATTGATAGATTTCACAGGGTATTTCATTCTGACAAATGACACTGGGCATTTCAAGCTCAAAATGGTTGAAGTGGCCAAGAGTTCATCGTCATCGTTGCTTGAAGAGTTCTGACCAATGATTTGACTGATTGTGCTCTCCTTTGGGGTTTTAGGTGCTTCCAAAACCTTTTGAAGGATCTTCGGTGCACTGACTCTTTCAGCTAAATAGCAAAAGATCAAATAGTCTGTTTTCGTCTGTGTATAGGCAATCTCTAGATGATTGGATGCACGCACATTGGGGGTCAAGTCTGCGGGTTTGGCAGTTCCTGGTTTGTTCTTTATCCCCTTGACGTTGTCTTTGATCTTCACTCCATTCAAAGTGATGTCCACTGGGTGTGGAAATTCGATGTTTACATTCTTACTGGACTTGGTTTTATCATAAACACCGCAATACAACACAACTCTCAGTGCGTTGTGAGGGTTTCTCAACGAGCTGAGCTCCCCTGGGCTCAGTTCGAAATGCAAAAAACTGTCTCCTCTTGAATAGTCGACGCGCGGTAGTATTCCCGCTGTTGGTGTGAGAAGCTTCTTCAATGTGTAGAAAGGGTTCTCTCTAAAGAATAACCACGGCTTCTTCTCTCGTGGCGTGCTCGACAGAGAAGAGGCCGGGGACACTTTCCCAGCATCCCCATACTTAAGTCGTAGACTTTCATAGGACCGACATGGTTTCTGGTTTATCACATCCCACACAATATCCCTGACAGCAAATATGCGGACAACATCGTCGTTCTGTGCGCCTATCTGTATGAACTTGGTGACTCGATCTAGCACATCGGCCTTCCTCCCACTAACGGCAATGGAGAGTGCCCTTGCGACAGTCTTCAGCTCTGTTACTTTCAGCTTCTGTATCCGTTCTAGTAGTTGCTAATGAACCACCACAGGTTTGTTGTCAGTAAACTTCCTATTCACACCGCTTCCCCGGTAAAGAGTTGATGATGCCAATCCAGACACGCACGCGTGTCTGTGCACTTAAGGTAAACATGAAGAGGTCACCAATATACACGGCGCTTGGGCGATGTGGTGAAGCGCTTGGCCCGCCACGTCGATACTCACAACATGTTCTGGTTCTGATGCCCTGGACGCCATGGTTGGAACGCTTAGAGGATGTGCTCCTACGCTGAGATGGCCTTCCCTACTGTCTTCTTTATCCCCCTCGCGTGTGCCTCCAGTATTTTTTCTTCTTTTTCCAATGGTGAAGTTTCTTGGTGATTACGAGAAACACCCAGACACCAAACATCCAGACACCCACACACCCACACACCAAACGCCCAGGCACGGAGAAAGTGGACGGGATGTTCGCGGACAAAGTTGTGCGTCTTTATCTATGCACAGATTATGTAAGCTTTGCTCTACCAACAGCCATGGAAGTACAGTATGGAACGGGGGAGAGGTGGAGGGATCCTTTCATTTCTGAATAAACTGGTAATCAAACACCTCTGATGGATCATCACGATGTCTTTTCCACGTTGTGATTTGGTTGTTCTGGGAATCGAGCTTGAAGAGCCGTACACGTCTGTCCATCGCTGTGGAGCCGTATGCACCTTCACCAACGGATGGACCAAAACACATCCATAATTCTTTCAAATGCTGGTCTGGTTGTGCATCGCTCCGTATACAGCATTCGTTTGTATGCTCGGACCCCACTGACATGCATTGGACGCCTATGTCGCTCAGGACTTTCCTGGTGTTCTTATCTGTTCTGGAGCTTTTCAAACGAGTTTTCTCGTTGTATTGTCCCACAAGGGCAAATGCTCCTCTTGGACGATACTCTGCGATTGGGTAGTGCTGGAATTCCAGTGACATTGATGGTTTATTGGGCAGTGAGTTGTAGAGCCTGTGCAATGTTTTCTCCAGAGGCTCGGGCGAGTTGGCTTCAAACAGATCAAGCATGTAGATAGCAGACACGGCTAAAGAATCATCGATATCGGACATCACCGGAATGACATAGTTGGTGATATTGCCTATCCACTGCTCTTGTGTTTGCCTGTGCATTATGCTAAATGGCAAAGTTGTCAAGAACTCAACGATGACGTCCCTGCTGGCAAACACACTGGTATCATGCTCTCCCATGGCAATTGCAAATGGTATAGACCTCGAAATCACAGGCGATAGCGCCTTCAAAAATGCTGTCTGATAATCGAATGTTCGACTTCCATCGATCAGGTCGCCGGTATAGACCACGAGATCGGGGGACTCTTCATCGATGACCCTATGTATAAAGGCAAGAGATTTTGCATCCGCATGGCATTCATCCACTGCATCCTTCTGATCCAGACATACTCCAAAACCCGACGTGAAGTGTAAATCAGAGAGTTGTAGCACTTTAAACATCTTATCCTTAGACAATCGCAACTTTGGCAGTTCTCTTCGCCGTACGCCTCTGGCAAAGCTCAGTCTGATGGGATGATGCGGGTAGATAGACAAAGAACCGTCAACCAAGTTCCACTGTGGCCTTGGTTCAATCACATCTTCACCAAATAGATACGTTATATCGGTGATAGCCTCTGGAGACTCAAAGGGCCCGTATTTAACCCATATGCCATCCTTCAACTGGGTCCAGCCATTGAGATCATAGTGGCCTGAAACGTCGAATCTCGACTTGGCCTTCCCCAGCTTCGACTTTGTCAACTCTTTAACAACGTACTGCGGCGGCTCAAGAGAGCGTGGATCTCCAAGAGCAACATCAACAACGGCATCACCCTCTGTGTCTGCATATGTCACGTAGAGATAGTCGTGTGAAGACCACGCCTGGTGATCGAGATAGCTCGATCCATCCAGCGACAGCTCTCTTCCAATCTTATACCAAGTGATCGTGTCAGTGCCCTGGGTCCCATCTTCTGATCTCTCCACAATCTGATTACAGTTGCCAAACCACGAATGACACCGTATCCTCTTGAGCCCAGATATACGTCCACCAGTGTACTTCTCAACGTGTACCACCCTATTATTGTAGAAATTCTGCGTATGTATGTCTAACACCGCTGTAAACAGGAACAGCAGAATCGCCAGTGGAATAAAGGTTCTCCTCAGGAGCTTGAATATCCGATGCACGACAGAACCAACAACTCTCAGCATATATACAATAATTCAAGCCCAAAACAAAGGCTCCTTGGTGCTTCCAACCTCAATTCCTTAGCTCGCTAGAAGGAGAATTGGATGAGACGTTTGTTCAAGATGGAATTGCCGGTTTAATTTCACGCAGGCAGAGGCCTAGGCAGAGCCCAAAGAAAATGCAACCCCCAACAACCCCCAACAAAAAACGCCCCCCGGCCCGAACCTGCCTTACTCACGCTGAGAATAGCGCAACACCTCATCAACCGTTGGCGTCAGACCACAAGTGCTCCGGTCCAGTGAAAGGAAACACACGAGCAACATCGCTAGGCAGTTGTTCTCCATTTCCTACGCCTCTACGATCTAATTGATCTGGTTGAAGAGAGCATGTATCGGACGAGCTGGTGGGAAGGGCATCACATGGCAAGAGCAATCCACCAGGCGCCCCCCCCCCCCTGCCCAGTCTGCCCTGCCCAGTCTGCCCTGCCCGTGTCAGTGAGCCCAGCCCATGTCAGTGGGCCCAGCACATGTCATTTGGCTGACAAGATCTAAAATTAGCCAGGCCCCACAGGCAGCTGGAAAGGCTTCGGCGTACGTAAACCGGTAGGCTGCAACCGGGAAGCGGGCCTAGACTGGTGACAGCTCCAGCCCAGCGGACGTCAAAAAGCAGCTCCAGGCATAGCTCGGGTAGGCAACGGGAAGAGAAGATCACTCCTAATTGTTTGTTTGTTCCTTCTAAACTGCACATATGCTGGGTGCGCAACTGTGTCTTCCATTGTTCTTTACCTCAACACACACACAGAACAACGGAGGAGATCCCTCGGTGATTGTGAGCTCTTTTAGAAAGCGTAGTGCGAGCCTTTATGCGATTGTGTGTTGACAGTTGACGGGTAATAGTGTGTGATGTGGCTCAATATTGGGATTTAATATATGGCATGGATCGCAAGCTATAATGTGCCGTTCCTTAGAATGATACTAATAAAAATAGCAATCCTCCCTTCAAATTTCCCCACGGTATACCACAATGTAGCTCTTACCTGAATTAAGAGATATAGAAAGTGTGATCATGTCACCTTCAATAATTTCTGAAATATGGCCATTCATGGTTTGTATAGTATAATCGAGAAAACACATAAATTTGCTTATATATCAACAACGAAACAAAGACAGGGAAACCTGGAACCGTCAGACTATAGAACTGATCTATATCATCATATATACTGACTTTTAACTTGATTGGATGAGTGGTTTTTCCACAATGATCCACACCATATGTGTTCTTATATATAATTCTGACTTGTCGTTGCCCTAGAAATCGTAAAAATGTAAGGATGTTTCCAATTCTAATGGGCATTGTTTACATTTTGAATTTTATCAACACAAAATGACACAAAACAAACACAGCTTTATACACAACGTTAAAAACATCATCAAACAATGGCCAGAAACCAAAGATTAAGCAAGTAAAGAAGAATGTCTGCGTGCGAACCAAAGAAACTCCAGAGAACTCTCATTGGAACCGTCTAACGACGTCCCCAGCTTGGTGAAGAAACATCAGCGGCTAATCCAGAACCACAGCGGCAACTTCAAACGAATGGAGCTACGACACAACAAGAAGACCCAGTAATTATTGAGACAGACTAACTGAGCTGCTATGAGAAACCGATACGGAGCGAAGACGCCTCCAAGTTCTGTCGCAGAATGCCCATGTAGAGATCATAGATGTACCAGAACAGCCGCCAATACCTGAACCTGAACTTGATAATGGAACTATGGCTGACAGAATGAGATGTGGACGACAAAGTACAGCACAGGTAGCAGAAAGAGCGTTAGAAGAAATTAGATGTGATGGTGCTTTTGACCATGATCCTGACTTTGAACACACCATTGAGGATGACACCAACGGTTTTACTGACAATGATGATCCAGTTTATGACCAACAACCTCAGCACAGACCACGGAGAACATAGAGACCACATAACTCAGTTTATAATCCAGGTCTTGAAATGTGTTGCGATTATTGTCCTGCTCTCCTTATCGATACTGAATTATCATCTTTTTGTTGTGATAGGGGCAAAGTTTTACTCAATGAGATATTCAAAGAGCATCCACAGTACATGAAGGATATCTTATGGATCCAATCACTTCCAAATATTCTTGAACATTCAATACAATTATTTCTCTATCATCTTTGGGTTCTGACAGTACTGGTAATTGGGGAGGTGGAACTTATTCAATGGCCATCAACAGACGCTTATTGCATAGAGTTTATGGTCTAATAGCTCAAGAAAATGGTCAAGAGAAATTTGCAGAACTTTATACACTAGATCCAGATTCCGCTACAAACCGTCATCTTGAATTGCTTAGAGGTGTTCTTCAAAACGATGGAGAATACAATAAACTTGAGGATTACATTAGCAAAATCGGTGAATTTCTATCTCAACACAGTCGTTATGCATAGCGAGACGCATAAATGGCTAGATGGATCTTTTACGTACTAACAGGACTCGGATTAGTATCATTCTAACATATCCACACCATACACACGCTTGAGATTGCATATACGAAATCTTACGGTGCAGTTTTACAAAACTCATCATCTTATTAAACGGAGGGACCTGGCATCAAAGTCAATACCCTGCTGGCTGCGCAGTGCAAGTCGACCGTGAAGGTAGCGGTGATTCGGGGTTTACCAGAGCCTTAGAGAAGGTCCAAATCATGTTCACCGTACCGAAGCACTACAGATCAACTTGTTTCATATGATGCAACGTACATACATGGCCATGTCTGTGGTGTATACACCGAGAGGTAGCCTACATCGAAGCAGTCTGGCGCATTTCGTGATGTTCTTATGAAAGCGGTAATATACACCACTAAAGGATGTCTATAATGATGGCTTGAGCTCTAGAGCCCTTCAAAAGCTTTCCTGAAGGAACATCCTTCGATGAAGGCAGAACCAAAAGCCCATTGGCTCCTGCAATGCTCCCGACACAGCTGCTACGTTGGAAGCCCGTGCTATCAGCAACCAATTTGTCTCCTTGCCTAGAGATGTGAACCCTCTGGTACTCAGGACGTGGATCCAGCTTTGCATCTTGGTTCAAAATGACATCCACTGTGGACCGAGTTGTGTTCGCAATACCACTGAACTTCATCAGCGACGGAAGCACGAAGAGGTTTGAAGTGACAGATGCCGATGCTGGGTTACCAGGAAGGGCAAAGATTGCCTTGTTCGCAAACTTGTGATCAGGTGGAAAAGTTGCAAACGTTGTCGGCTTACCAGGTTTCATCGCAACTCGACCAAAATGGATGGTACCTCCCAGATGGCGTTCAATAAACGGCTTCAACAGATCCGTCTCACCCATGGAAACTCCCCCTGTGGTGATGAAATAGTCAACACGTTCAAATGCACTCTCAACGGTCTCAGCCAACTTGCCTAGAGTGTCATGGGAAATACCAAAATCAACAACCTTGTAATCGTACCCTTGGAAGAGTTGGCTTAACAGAGGTCTGTTAGTATCGTAGATCTGACCATATTTCAGCGGAACTTCCGAGCTTTGGGATAGATCAACAAGCTCATCACCGGTACTTAACACGCCAATGACTGGTTTGGCATAAACCTCAACCTCAAGAACACCAATACTAACCAACAAGCCCATCTCTCCTCCAAGCCTGGAGATTCTCGAACCCTTTGGTAACGCCAGTGCACCCTTGGATATGTCACTTCCGAGCTTTCTGATGTTATCTCCCTCGACAACGTTCATGGCAAGGATCTTCACCTCAACTTCCTCGCCATCTGCTGTTTCCTTATCAACTTCAGTCTCCTCCACAGGAATCACCGCAGTGGTGCCTAAGGGGATAGGTGCACCAGTAGTGACTCGAACAACCGTACCACTCTGTATTCTTTTAGTTTCACCAGGAGCAGCGTGAGAAACAGATACAACTGGGAAAGTACCCGGACAATCAGAGTGTATCACGGCATAGCCATCCACTATCGAAGCGTTGAAGTCGGGAACGTTTACACGAGCAAACACGTCTTGTGCAAGAACGTATCCAGTGATATCATCGTCTGTTAGTTTCTTTTTGATGACCGATGGTTTGGGTGTAAACCTGTCAATATAATCCAGGGCTTGAAGGACGGAAACCATTGGATATGGTGATTTTCTAGCTCTTTGAGCGACTGGACCGTTGAGCGCGTTGGAAAGCAGATGGAGCTTTACGCCATGAGAGTGTTCATGTGAGTGTTCATGTGAGTGTTGATGAGAGTGCTCGTGTGAGTGTTGATGAGAGTGCTTGTGTGAGTGCTCATGTGAATGGCCAGAGTGCTTCACTTCTGAGCTCGGATGATCGCTGGGCTTGTGCAGCTCCCTAGCACTGTCAACACGGAGCTGGTTCAAGATATGCTTCAACTTATCAATGATAGCATCCAAGTTCTCCGTTGCTCCCTTTGGAGAGCCAGGAATTGTCACGATCAGAGTCTCGTTTAAAACACCAGCAACAGGCCTTGAGCATATGGCATAGGGAGTGATACCAAACGAGTGCGATAACATCGCATGAACAATGCCTGGGGCTTCCTTATCGAATAACGGCTTAACAGCTTCAGGTGTTACATCCTTCTTTGTGAAGCCAGTTCCTCCGCTCAAGACAATGAGATTGGGCGCCGTTGCGGTGTCGGCAGTAAGCCTTCTCACAAGCTCCTGAATCATCGCCTTATCATCATCAACAATATCTATAGTCGTATTCCAGTCTCTTGACTCCAAGTAATCCGCAATAACAGGTCCAGTTCTGTCCTCAGAGGTGTGTGAGAAGCAACTGGACGACACGATCACGACGGCAGCGTTGAATAGTTCCATTGCGCTCCTGAAGGTGTTGATAAAGGGGATTTGTTGTTCTTCTCTGTGTGATTTTTGTCTTATATACCGCACTAGGCGGACATTAAATTGCAATGATCTACAAACTCTGCAAAAGGGCAAGATATAGAATTTTTGGCCTTATTTATCTGTCAAATCAATCAACGGCTGATCGTTCTGCTGCTTATCCTCTTGTGGTTGTGGTTCGTCATCTGACAAACTCAACAGATCAGCATCTCCGTCGCCATCTCCCCCCTCATCACTGCTGGAATCCATATAATCTGTATCTGAGTTCCATTCTATACTCTTATCCAATTCATCGTTATCCAATTTGAGGAATTCCAAGCTGCTATTTGGCAATTGAATTGGGGTGGAATCAAATATCGCACTTCGCTTTACAAAGACAAGAACAAGAGGATCGTTCCAGACGTTACGTGTCTTTGAATACACCACCTGTTTGATATCATCGAATTGTGTCTCATCAGTCTCAAATCTCGTATCTGGACTGTCACATGGTGTATGTTCAACATATCTCCATTGCAATACACCATCTTCAGTCTTTGTAGCACAGCAGTAAATGTTACCACGTAATATGACCCCTGTGAGAAGGTAAGGTTCTGGCTTCTCGTGCTTGTCATCCTCCATGTACTTCTCAATTATCGTGTCAACGTTTGTAATTGACATCGCCCGTCTTTCGTCGATCAATTGGCTACTTCTTTCAGCAAGAGACTCCTTTCTTTCTTGCACTGTGAGGCTCAGCTGTCGAACATCGTCAAGAACGTCTGCAATCTTCAGATCTTGGTATTCGCCATTTCCACTCTCATCTTGGAGAAACTCCAAGGAATGATCCAACACAGATTGGATATGCATACCTTTGTGGGTCTTGAGCTTCAACAGTTCAGAGTTAATGCTTGCTCTCTCCTTCTCCAATTCTTCGTGCTTCTTCTCAATACTTAGCACCGTGTTTTTGAAGTCATTTGTATAGATCTGAGGGTACAGCTCCTCAAACAGTTCCAAGCCAGGTGGAACAAACATATCATCTGTACATGGATCCACTGTGATCATAATTGTGTCTGCTAATGAGTTTATGCAGTCACTGGACTCGACGGAATCGTTCCATATGAGTTCGTTCAACGATTTATAAAGTGTTCTGCTCAAATCCTCAGCCTCGATATGAAACATGCCAAACGTGTAGAGCTCACCATTTCTCAAGAGCGTATTGGCGAACAAGCTCTGTGCGTTTGCAACACCGGCCCATGTAAGTTGCTCAGACAGTGCCTTATACAAGATCTCATAGGCGTCTGATAGGTTATCAACATACCCAAACTGTCCAAGTGCAGACTTTGGTAATGCCTTTATAAGACCGGCCAGCGACGTGAATGATCTATTGGCCGAATCATCCAAGAACGTAAAGATACGCTGTACCTCAGCCAAAAACCTCAAATCGTGTTTCTCACCATCAACCTCAACCTCAGTTATCTCGGCAGGTAATTCCACAACTTCACCTTTAAACCAACGTGGGCTATAGCCAAGGTCTTTGAACTCATGGCGGAACACTGCACGCTTGATCCCAGGCACTGCGTGCAAGATCATGAGTAAAGCAGCCAAGTAGCTTTCGTAATAGCCGTTAGACGTTGGCATTATAACCGGGACCTCATCAGCTTTGCGAGTATAGGCTCGCACGTCATCGTAAACATTGTACGGCACCCTTCCCTCAACTTCCTCATGGGGTAGAGAAGAGTGTTCCAGATCTTCGAATACAGAAACATCGTCATCGTTTACATCGCTGTCATTGTCCCTGATATCTTCAACGTGCACAGAGGCGTGGCTCCTTGGTGGCAATGGCGGCGCTGAGTACTGCTCCTCACTAGTACTATGTTGTTGTTTGATAATGTCGTCTATAACACCAGACTCTATTGGCGCAGATGTCACGCCCTTCGCATCACCATTCGAGCTATCACCATAGCTCTCAGCAACAGGATCAGTGTCTCTGAACAGGAAGTCAATAGCGCTGTTGATATCACCGTTTGATTGCTTCAGCAATGCTCTAAATGTTAGTAACTCCCCTTAAGCAGCAGCTCCCACCACGACGGCGCCCCTCCGTCTCCGTCTAACATCACACTTACACTGAGTGCCTCAATTGCCTGTTCCCTTGAGAAGCCAAACTCCACGATCTGATCGATGTCCTTCTGATTCATAGTTGCTATTGGAAGGCTGAGTTTCAACAACACACACAGTCTGAGTTGTACTGCATCAGCGTATCAGCGTCCTTTGGCACTCTGCCCCTATGTGGAGAGTGGTGTTCGGGTGTTTTCCACCAGTCCACTGGTAGGGGCAACACCACCCAGGGCACTTACACTTACACTCACTCAACTACAATTTTGGCTGGAATATGGGGGAAATGCATCGTTGAATGAGCATCGAAGGTGCTTAGAACACATCTGGGAGTCGTTCAATTACATATGAGTGTGCGCCCACGCTCATTATTGGAACGCCGGGTACCTTTCTCAGACGACGTTTGAGGTCCGCATCGTTCGTGGCCACTATGAAGCACTTGTGCTGTATGACCCTGTGGACAAGACAGTCATCCGCATAGGTCCCCTTGTGTGAGCAGCTCAGTCTCTGTATACGTGGGTCCTTTGCCAATCTGAGGGCTATACGGTATTTCGGGCCCAGCTTCTCCAACTCCGCCATGACACAATCCGTTATCAGTGGGATACATTTCGCATACAACGCGTCCATCATTCCTCTGACGAGGTCGATCTTCTTCTGGATGGAGAAATTGATGAAGTTGGTATCGATCAGCACCTGGTATGGGGGTTTTATGGCCTCGTTAAACTGGAAAAACAGCGCACTCGACACCTGTGGCACGTTTCTGGTCAGCTCTGGATCATCCTTCTGGCTCTTCTGTTGTTCTTGGTTCTTCTTCAGCTGTTGACTCTTGTTCGATATTATACGCTTGGTAGCTGCAAACTTCCGTGTCTTCTTAGCCTTTCCCATCTCTTTGTTCTTGTTTCTCTATGCAGTTGCTATTTGGCCTTCCATAAGCTCCATTCCACCAAGAGCGAGACACTATGAAAACTTTTCCTTTCATCTCATCGCCCATCGGTATGGACACGTTCTGCTTACGTAATTGCCAACACCGCAGGGAAAACTTTTTTTTTCGCTTTTCCAGGTTTCGTTTTTGTGGCAAGTTTATGTGTGTGTTTCTTTTTTTTTGGTCTTTTCGTTTTTGTGGTTTTCACTTTTTAGCCGCCAAAACCACTGATTGACAAAAAAAAAAGGGAGAATTCCAGAAGATTCTGAGAACTCATTCCAAAGTGGGATAGATTAACTACATTTGTTGATAAATAAAACCAAATATACTTGTCGAAACAGTACAAAACACACACGATGAATATCTTGAAACATAAGGAGAAAAAAGTGAATAATTTGATGTTTGTGCATTCACTCACGCACCATTCCGCCGGTGCTGCTGCGACTGCGCTTGTTGTTGATACCCACGACCTATCTACGTTGTCCATCAACAGCTACTACTCCACTACGTCTTGTCCAGTGCCGCAGTGGTGGGCCTGAGGTCCCTTCTGTTAAAAACCCTCAACTCGAGCGATACCGTAACGGTGCTGTTGAGGTGTCATTGGACGTTATCCTCTTGGGTGAGAGCCAAAGGGTTTCAAAAGATGACTTGACGAAATTGTTATCATGTTCGCATGGGATGGCCAGATTGCAACATTTGGACAGTAAACACGCATGCCGAGGGCTGCTGTATGTTGTTATACGGTCTGTTTTGTTTTCCGAGCCCATATATGGAATATTGGATAAAGATCTCAGTTTCAAGGTGTTTATCCAACAGGAATTCAAAGAGAGAAATGATCAGAATTTGAAGAATTTGTTGATGGCGTTGTTTGAATTCACGTCAGATGTGATTATACCAAATCAAGATGAAGACGTCACATTGCTGATCTACATGAAACGTGATCGGTTCGAATCAGAGTCAAAACTGTTGATAAAGAACCTTATATGGTTGGGCGGTAAACTGGTTCACGATGACTCTGACGATACAAACAAGTATCACGATTGGTACATCATGGAGTTTGAAGTTTGATGGAAAGG